ATCAGAAATTAATAACAGTGTTCCTGATTTAAAAGACCTGTCAATCAATATTATCTGGTTTGTGACAAGCAAAACAAGCCAAATCCCTTCCACCAGTCACAGTAAAAGATCTTAACTCTGCCAAATAAAGCTGAAACTACCATCAGGCCCAGATAACGCTGTAGAAAAGTGAGAAACTATAGTAGTAATATTTTTGTAATCTGTCCATTAGACTGGAAATTGTTTACAGTGCCGTAATCGACAACAGTTTGACAGCCTTTCAAAATACACAACAAACACGATTTATTCGGACTTTACTATTAAGACACAGTCTACTGTGAAATAGACTTACTACACAGTGCATCATAAATGTACATTTAGTAATTGTAGTTGCCTGTGAGCAGTAATCAATTACATATTAATATTTCGAGTCATTTGGCCGATCTTACCTGGTAAAGTGATAGTAGCAATTGTAGCATTCCCACCCTCTGCTGGTTTGGGAAGAAACAGTTCTTTGCTGTTCACCTTCAGTAGCTCATCACTCTCTACATCTCTGAACATCCATGGGTGACCTTGAAAATAAAAAACATACACAGAGAGCGTGTATTACACAGCCCACAAGTGATGCCATTGCACTTAAACTGCAAATCAAAGCTTCAAAACCTGAACTAAATTGAACTAAACTAATTTCTCAGATCTCATAATAGGTTGTGTCTGATTGATTCATTTGAATGTCGGTTTTTTTCGGCTGTGTGAGGATCTGAAGATGTGGCTGCTTTCACACATCCTGGGATGGACGTCTGACCAGCGGCTCCTCGTCTCCCATGTTCATGTTAGTGATAGATTTACCCACAAAGTAAAACAGTCGTAAAACATTATAGAAATAACACAACAATCACTCTGTTAGCACAGAGACTGATCCTCCTCCACTGGAAGTCTCCTATCCACCAACCTGGACTGGAGAAGTGATGCAACATGTCAAACTTGAGAAACTGAGACTCACATTCTGTGGCTCCACTGATCACTTTGAAAGAATCTGGAAACCTAAAGCTTTCGCCTCCTCCTAAATGTAACTCTAAATACAGTGATTCACATTTAAGTTATTATCTTGTCTCTATCTCTGCCTTTGTATCACAGTGAAATAAACCCAGGGCCTTTACTTTGTGCAACTCCCTGTTTGTTAACATGTGTGTGCATGTTTTTCTTTTCTTCTTTTGTTATTGTTGTTGTATTATTGTGTGAGTGATATGTATGTCAATAAAAAATATGTAAGACAGAAAGAAATAACACAAAGGTTAAAATGTGGGCTGTTGTTTTCAACAAACACCAACAGCATTGGGACCTGCAGTTGTCCCCGGACGACCTCTCGTCGGGGGAAAAAGTAACAGCAGCAACACTTAATAAGAATAAGCTTGTGTGATATTGGGAAAGCTACCTCACTTACCGATGAAGGTGTTCATCAGTTGTCTCGCTCCTGGCTGTAGGTCGCGGTACGCCCGAGGTTCCCCGCGGAAATCTATCCATAGTGGTCGTACGACCCGGGGACTGTTGTTACAAAACACCGCCCTGACGGGGACCCGGCTGTTCAGGGAGCGAACCAGAGGAAGAGCCTGTTCTCCCTCCTGAGGCATCTGTACTGCTTCCTAATGGACGCTGGTTTGTTGGCGCAGAGAGATTTAGCTGTGCAGCTAACGACAGCTAGCAGATAGCTGTCAACACAGCCATGTATGTTGACACGCGGAGATTGTTGGATCAATAAGTGGATCAATAAGTGGATCACTTAATCGGCCCGCGTAGGTTACATCGTTTTAAATGCAACTCGTTCACTTCTGAACTTGGAGCGATCCGCCTGTCGCTTCTCAGTCTCAACTAGTTTGTTTACTTTCACTCTTCCGGTTTAAAGTCTTGGGACGTCTAAGTATCCTGGACTGTGATTGGTCGAGAGCCGCGGTGACGTCACGGTTTCACAGAAGATTCTGATAAATAACAACAAATACACAAATACACAAACACACAAACATAGGAGAGGTTTTAACTTTCACTCTCTAAAAGTTGATTACATTTACTGAAGTATTAGTACTATTTGAGTTCATTCATTGTTGGCTACTTTATACTTTTCCTCCAGTATACTGACAGTAAAGTTATTCATAAACATAATAACATTTTACATAATAAAACATATGATCTGCTCATAGAATATGATTAAACTGCCCATCCATCTCGACCAGCTGCAGCGTTACAATTACATGTTTATGCATCAGTAATATTAATACTAATATGTTAATAAAATGTGTAATAATAAAACCTAAACCTTGTACTGCATAATGAGCTCATTTGCTGATTATACCTCTGTGCTTTAATTGAGTAAAATATTGAATGCAGTACTTTTAATTAAGTATATTTATACTGCGGTACGTGTTGTTATTTTACTTAAGTAAATGATCTGAATACTTTCAACGTTGTTGTTAATTAACATATTAAATATCTTTTTTATGCAGAAAACGATGCTGTAATTAAGGCTATAATAAAAGTCTGAACTGAAAACCAATCGCCTCAACATCTATTGATTAGCTGTTCTGGACCTTTCAATCATATCACATCTGTTTGTGTGCCGAAATGGCGGAGTTGGGAGAGCGTTAGACTGAAGATCTAAAGGTCCCTGGTTCCGGCAGCAAATGTTGCAAAAAATTTTTTGGGGCGGCAGTAGCTCAGTGTGTAGGGACTTGGCTTGGGAACCGGTTCAA